ACTACCCAAATTTGCAGAACATGTCGGGCCAACTCCTAGCACGTGCGATTCACCATGCCTGATCTGCAGGACAAAGGGGTAAAGACAAAGAAGAAAAAGCAACAGGAAGACGAGGAAGAGGACGAGGGAAGTGACTCAAGCGCAGCAGAGGAAGCCCGCAGCAAGCCAGCAAAGGGCAAAAACGAAAGTGCGGAGAAGGTCAAAAGCAAGTCAAAGAAGAAGGCGGCGGTGGCTTCTGAGTCAGAAGAGGTGGAGGAGGTAGAAACAGAAGAGGAGGAAGGCAACGGGTCTTCAGAGGAGGCGGAGGAGGATGCAGGGCAGGCGAAAAAGCCAAGCAAGCAGAAGAGCAACCCAAACAAGCGAAAGGCGCGCGAGGATGCGGAGGCGCCGTCAGAGTCTGCTCCATCGGAGTGCCAGGATCTGTCTGAGTGGGAGCTCGACCCGACTGAGGACGCGCAGGTGCTCGTCCGAAGCAAGAAGAAACTTGACCAAGAGGCTAGCAAGAGCAAGGCGAAGCAGAAGAAAGTCATCGCGGCAAGCACAGAAAGCGAACCAGGCTCAGAGGAGGAAGGGCAGGAGGAGGTTCAGGAGAAAAAGGAGAAGAGCAAGCAGAAAGCATCGAACAAACGGCCGCAGCCAAGCTCAAGCGAGGAGGAAAGCGAGGGCGACGAGGAGGAGGAGGAAGAGAACGAAAATGACGAGAAGCAGCCAGCCCAACAACCCACAACACTTGCCGTGGCGGAGAAGTCATTGACCTTGGCTATCCCAAAAAATAAGCGCAACTCGAACACGCACCGAAAAGAGTACCATGCCTTCTGCAGGCTCTCGCAAGTTTTCGAGTGGGAATCAAATCAACATTGAACTTCATCAAAACCTAGTTTTCACAAACCACAAGTTTGAGCTCTGCTGGCATTTTCTGGGCTATCCCATTGAGGTGGATCAAAAACCCCAAGCGGCTGCCGGAAAAGCTGAGCACCATTGTCCAGACCAAGGACTGATTGGTTCCCCTGTCAAAAACTCAGCCATGCGCACCCTGCCTTGCAGGATGGCAGGGACCGCCTCTTCGAAGATTATCTGGACGCCGAGGGTGATCCTGACGACATCGTGGCCCGCTTCGACCGCCGCATGGAAGAGTCTCTTAAGTCAAAGCTCAAGTGGGCGTTCAAGCCAAAGGGTTTCCTCACCGAGAGATTCGGGGAGGCCAAAGCAGAGCGAGTTGCAAACAGAAAGAAAGACCTGGGATTGAAGCTGGTTTGCATGAATGTGACAATTTTCCGATTGTGTAGGTCAGCAATGTTTCTTAACCTTTGAAATGTGTACACCTTTTCTTGGCATGTTGAGCTGATTGCCAAGGACAATCGCAGACCCCAACGACATTGATGATGGGACCTCGCTCTTGTATTTCGTGATGGTCGACCTGGAAATCACCAACGCGGTTGACATGAAAACGATCGTGCAAATGGAGCTTAACGGCAGCCTGAGCAAGGAGATGGTGGTGCAGTTTCAGAAGGCATCAAAAGTAATGGTCACTGCGTCACTGATTGCTGAAGTGTTTTTGAATCCGGGTTCATGGTTCTGCGGGTTGACCCTTTACTGAAGCCCCCCTGCGCATTTGTAAAGACAGGCGCTTGCAAGAGAATTGGAAAAGGCTGACCAGAAACAGCTTGAGTCGTAAGCAGGCCATGAGGGCGCAGGCTGCAAATCAGGGTTGGTGAAGGATTTCATCCCTTTACCAAACACCTTGCGTTTCGGCCCAGGGCCTTACACGAGAAATTGCATTTGATTGCACTGCCGGACTGGGGTTCAACAGAGTAGCCTGAATGTTTGAGTGATTGGTCCAGTTGAAAGCGTTGGTACCACTTAGCGGCTTGAAAGAACTTTGGGCCGTTGCCTGGATCGCTTGTTTGTCCTAGCCCCCTGGTTCTGTCGCAAGGGTGCATTTCAAAAAAGGAGTGGCCATGTTTGTCGCTGTGACAGGCTGGTGGAGTCCTTGACCCAGCCAAGCAGCTCAAGTTGCAGGACATGGGTAGCTCCAAGTCTGCAAGCCAACTCATGGAGATTGCAGGCTCTTCTGGGCAGTTGGCAAACGCGAAGAAGAAGGCCAAAGCAAAGAAGGTTCAGCAAGACTCGGACACGGCTGCGGTGGCGCCTAGTTTCATGTTTGGTTTATGTTGCTTTGCTTTTCACCAGCATTTTTGGGCCCGCCCCGAAACAAGTTCGGTGTTTGATCTTGCTATCGGGCCCCTAGGTCACTCCAGAAACGGCTATACAGAAAGCGCAACGTTTGGTGGAGCGGTGCTTGCGGGAGGCAAACACATGCAGGCGCATGATGCAATGACAATATCCATGTGTCAATGACCAAGTCCAGTTTCAACAGCAATCCTTCTTCGATGGTGCCAGGGACTGCGCCTTCAAGATCGGCCCCTTGAAAGTTTCCAAGAACTTGATCCGTCAGCTCACCTCCCTCGATGTGTCCTTGAAGAAGCAGGCGACGAGTCTGCAGGCCTTGATCCGCGCGGGCAAGAGCAAGAACAAGCACTACAATGACGTTGTGAAGGAGGTCGGGTTTTTAGCTTTGCTTAAACACCGCATGCTGCCTCAAACAGGCGTACTACTGTCCCCATTTCTGCAGGTGGAGAAAACCTTCGAGGTCAGCAAAGAGAAAATCGAGCTAGCAAAGGCACTGATCCGTGCTGCTGAGAAGGCGCAAGACAAGGAGTTGAAGAAAGAGCCAAAGGCAAAGTGAACAAACATGGCTGCCTTCAGCTCTCCAATGCATGGGAAAAGTTGTGACCACTTTTTGTTCTCCCTAGGAAACAAGGTAAAAAATCCAGTCACTTCATGTGGGCAGCCATGATCTAAATCATGCATTTCTGTGTAGAGGTGCCACGCTAAGCTGCTGAGGCTATGAGCGCTCACACCCTTGGCAAATTACCAGTGCTTCAGGATGCAAAACACAAGAAAACCATGTTTGGATGTGAGTCGGGGAGCCTCTTTGTCAGTCTCGGCGCTAGATCACCTTCGCACGTAGGCATTAGTGCAATGAAAGTTGCAGAAAAAAGTGCTTCGCCAGAGTTCCAAACCCAGCGTGGCAACTGTGGACTGCGCCTGGTCACCTTTGCTTTGGACCAAATACGCCCACGCAGGCCAGCGCCTGCTAGTGACGATGCTCAATCTGAAAGCTCTTGCCTTAAACATGCCATGGCTGAAATTATTGTTGGGCCTCGTTTGCCAAGGAGTTCATCGACCTGTTCAACAAAATCGGTCCCGTTCTCCTCGGAGGCTGCGGGCTTGCTTTCCCTCCTTGAGCGCGCAATGTGGCTATGGACAGGAAGGAAAATCAACAAGGTGCACCTCGTGAGTTGCCAGGCTCACCAATGTTAGTTCTAGCGTAGGCTTTGGGCAGTGTGAAGAAATCTTGCCAGGCGCTCTGGCACCAGTGGCCAGCTCTTTGCTGAGCGCTTACAGCATGTCATTACCCAAATTGCTGTGTTTGGGCCATGATGGGCGCACAATGGGCACGCAAGGTCACGCAAAGGTGCGTCAGTTCGGCTTGGCTCCTTGTCGCAACAAACTTGTGTCATCCAGTGGCCGCTCAACTTGGCAGAAGGCTTTTGCAAAATAAGGAGAGCTGGTCACCACGGCTAGCCGGAGTGCCAGAAGAATCCTGTACAAGATCAGCTTGGGGGACTGGTGGGGATATGTGGCTTACCCCTTTTCGCTCTTCAATGCTTGCAGGAACTATCAATTGCTGAAGGTGCCCGTTCTGCCCGTGATTCGGTGGATGACGGGCCCACCTGCGAGCTCATGGGCATGATTGCCAGTTGGGGCTCCACGCCCGGCAGTGAGGAGCGGTCCTTCTCCAGGACCTGGGGCGAAAGGGTAGGTGGGGTGCCCAGTAGTTTTGCAAATCAGCAAACAATCATGTGACTGTCAGCGTACCAGCGTGATATGTGTTAGAAATAGCACTGCTAATTTTTTGTTTGCCCATCAGGTGGTGCCACAAAACATGCTCGCTCCACCTAAGTACGGCCTATGTGACCATGGATGTGCCACGCAATGACGGCACAACAGTTATTGAGAAATGGCCACTGGCATTGCTTTGGCCATGGGACATTTTGGACTTGCTCCACAAGCAGGGGCGCTTGGAGAGCTTCATTTCTGATCACCCAGACCCTTCACAAAGAACCAAGCTGTATTGGCAAAACTCGTCCCATTTGGATTTCACAAAGGATTTGGACCTATCTGAGCCTGGCCGTACCATCCCTCTTTGCTGGCACACTGACGGGGTGCAAATTTACCGGAACCAGAAAGCCCATGTCTACTCCTTCAGCTCTGCCACTTGCAAAGGCCCCACGCTATCAACCAAAATGATTTTTTGTGTGGTACGTGACACCATGGCCGTGAAACCTCAGACCTTTGACGAGATTGGGGCGCTGACCAAATACATGCTGAAATATTTGAGCTTGGGCGTTTACCCTTCAGTGGATGAGGAGGGCAACGAGTTTGCGCCGGGGGGCCGGGAAAACAAACGAGCTGGCCAACCGTTCAAGTTTGGCTGGAAAGGGGTCTTCAGTACTTGGAAGGGGGATTTAGAAGCTCGTGTGCAACAACACAAAATGCTTCGGAACTACATGTCCACCAACATTTGTGAGCATTGTCTAGCAGGGCAGGTTGGGCTCTTCCCTTTTCGGGATTTCAGTCCAGGCGCCAGCTGGCGGGACACTTGTTTGACCCACCACCAATTCTTGCAACTCAACCCGACTGACAAACAGTCAGTGTGGGCGGAAATCCCTGGTTGGCGCAAAGAGCGGAACGTGGAAGATTTGCTCCACTTGCTCCACCAAGGAGTGGCCCCGAGACTTGCCCGAAATAGAGTAACCAGTTTTGCGATTTGCGTCGTTCAGTTTGAGCAGCGCTGGAAACACTTCGACTGGTTGCAAATGAAATAAAGACGAGAGAAACGACCCCAAACCCTACAAGTAGGCAACTGCAACGCCATGGTGCTCCAGAAAAAAGAGTTGTTAATTGCCCTAGGATTGCAATCGCGTCCCTGGTCATCGACACCATCGAGGAGCACTTGGGCCACGGCAAGACTCTGCCAGGCATTGCGGATGAGCTGTCCAAGGCCTTCGAGCATTACAAGAAGTTCTGCAAACGAAACAAAATGCCTGCATGCTCCTTCCGGTTCAGCTTGGCCAAGTTTAACAGGAAACAGTACACGAACCTCCCGGTGCTTGCGTCATGTTGCCTGGTTTTCTTTACAGGCCCTATAGTCTGTGTGTGGCTGGCGTGAATTATGGGGCTTGAAGCCGGGTTCAGTCAAGTTAGGGGTTGACCACCGCCCATGTCCCTTTGCTGAGGCTACAAGGCCAACGTTGTCAAAGGCATGGTTTACTGGGTTGCCGACTACTTGAATACGTTCAAAGACAGCCAGCTTGACAAGCAGCGTGCCTGCTGCGGCTATGCGTTGGCTAGGTTTCAGAGCATTTGTGACAGTGCCTTTGCTGCACACTAATTGGGCTCCAGGCCCACATGGTCGGCTTCTTGTCACGCGCTGCATTCAGTACCTGAGGATCGCCGGAGTGGTTCTCTGACGAAGCTCGCAGGGAAGCCTCCACCCAAATCCGCAATTTCCTTCAACTTTATCAAAGCTTGGCGGCGCAGGCGCAGTCAGCAAAGAAGAACAACTACCATTTAGTTCCGAAATTTCATAATTTCGATCACCTATCATCTTACATAGATGAGACTGGTCGTAACCCAAGGTTTGACCATTTGTATACAGATGAGGGGTTGATGGGATGCGTGGCAAAGATAGCTTCAGCAACGCATGCTCTCACTATGAGCAGGAGAGTTTTGGAAAGATACCGGGCCCATTTGGATGTGGTACATAGCCTGGTTGCCTTGTGGCCTCTCAGAGCCACCCGCTCAGCCCGCGGCAAGTAAAAGCCAAAGCAGCTGTCGCCCATCGCATCGGCGTGGCGTGTCAACAAGGTTTTTTTGTTTTGCAGCGCCTCCCCAAAAACAAAAAAAGCAATACCAACCGCAGGTTCATTGCCCCCTTGTCTTCATACAGTTGAGCACAAAAACTGTCTTCGAGCGAAGCCTCGCAAAAGTCCCTTTGATCCCCGAAGTGTGGGAAGTTACGGCTTGGGTCATGCATTGTTTGAATAGGCATTTTCTGGGTCTGCCCTGTTCATGTTGTTGGCCCTGCGCCCATTAACCAGGTGGTAAAGGGAGATCGTGTGGGGTAGGCGTGTTTTGCATGTGTGGTTGCATGCTTCTTGGGTCTGTTTTTGGGTTTGTGTATGTGTGTGTGTTTGTGTGTCTGTTGGCGGTGATGGTGGTGGTGGTGGCGGTGGTGGTGGTGGTTGTGTGGGTGCGTGTTTGCGTTTGTGTGCATCAGTGTGTCTCTGGGTTTGTGCTGCGTGTGTGTGTGTGTGTCACTAGACACGGACGGCTCAAGTCGCTTGCTCTCAAGAATTCCGCCTGCAAAGCTGGAAGCATACGGCGCGGCCAAGCGCGCAAGAAAGAGAAAACCAGCTATCTTTTTGACCGTGCTACGCATATAGGGTCAAGTACGGCGTTTCTGTTTGGCGCTCCGAGAAAGCCCAGCTAGGTGCTATATAGGGGCAAGAAAAGCACATCTAGGATGTGCCAGGCAGCATGCAAGGCACTTGTATATTTCCTTGTCAGCAAGACTAACAGTCTGCAAGCGCGCTGCTTGCGGCGCTGGGCTTGCAGCTATATGCCGTGCTCGAACTCACACGCCCTTATATTCGCAGCATGCCCGACAAAGGTGTATCTGATACGCCTTCATTGTTATGAGTGCTGGAGATGCGACTTCGGCTGCTCTGGGTCCTACGGTGCTCTATCATCGCACCGATAAGCGGAACTTCGCCAGCATTATGCGAAACGGACTGCTTCCAGGAGGAGGGGACCAGCACGAGACAGGCAGACCTCACGTTTTCTTCGCTGACATTCCGAGCACGAATGAAAATTACATCTCAGGTGTACGTGCTAACAAGCCCTTGGAGATACAGATTGACCTCAGGATGGCCATTCGCGCAGGGCTTTGCTTTTTCAAGACTGAGAGCGACGGCGTCCTTACGCGCGACAAGGTGCCCAATTACACGATTATTTCGGTATTGGACGCTACAAATGGCGATGTATGGTACACTCGCTCCGAGCAATCGGATGCAGGTGCACCAGCTGAGGCGAATGAGGATGAATCGCAGGGGATGAAGCGCGAGCAAGCCGTGGTTGATGATCGATCTACAGCGCTGGAACGTATTGCTACAACCCGCACCAATGTGGCGTCTCCTCGCGCCCCGCAAGGGGAAGCGAAGAGACAGAAGACTTTCAACCCAATGGAGAACGTTGAGATGAATGTCGCCGCGTGCCCGGTCTGCAACAACAGTGTGTTCGAGGGGCAGGTCCATTGCTCGTCATGTGGGCAGTTGTCTCCCCTCAATCCTCGGCTGCTGAAAGAACAGCAGAGGAATTACATTGTGCAGCGTTCCAACTTGCTGAAGAAGATGGGCCTCAGCACCCATGTCACAGCCCAGGTTTTGGCATCCGTGGGAACTTTTGACCTCCGCGAGGAGGATCGTAGCAGCATCATTCGTGGCTTGAACTCCCCGGACAGTGCTGTCATTCAGGAAGCCCGGAAGAAGCACAAGTCCGCTCTGAAGAACGGCTACCACTCTCTGCTTGATCGCTATGAACTCGACCTTCAATACAGGGTTCGTATGCTTGAGGTGGGCCGTCGGGAGGCGGACATGCTCCGCATGGAGTTGTGTGCAAATCTCGTCTTGGCTGCTCCAAAGCAGTCGCAAGCCCAGCGCACTCTGGGAGTTGGCCTTGGATCAACTTCGGAGTCGCGAATCGCAAGGCTCGCGTATGTCAAGACGGAGTTGGAGTTCCTGCCCAGCGAATTCCAAGATGCGCTTTCCTCTCGCTGGATCATTATGTTCCAAGGGATGCCTTGCAGCCCAAGGGCTTTTATCAACGTGGTCTTCGAGCAAGACAAGCCTCGCAGCATTGGTTGTTGGAATGGCATCATCCATGTGCGAAGCAACACGTTGGAGGACCTCCGCCACGAGATGGACTGGGTTTTCAGCCAGAATGAGCGGTATGCTCGTAACTCGATTGAATTTTCGAGGAACGAGAGCAGCAAGCATCTCGCTCGCAACGCCGCTCGCTATGCCGATACTCGTGCTCCCGCCGCCCGCGAGGGTGAGCATTGGAGCCAAGGCAGCTGGCAGAACTGGTCCGGATGGAGCGGATGGGACAACAGTAGCGGAAACTACTCTACGTGGCAGTGGCGCTAAAAGCGCAACTGTCATGGTTTGCATGTGTCAATGGTTCCCCTGACCTTCTCCCTCTGTTGTGTTACTGTTTGGCTGCTTTGTGAAAGGCCCCTTTAACACGCAGAGGGGGGTGAAGAATTTGATCGGTCAGTATGGGGTTTTACATCCATTGCATCCGCAGTGTGGCTGTTCAAGCGTGAAAATGTGCGAGCAGCGCACTTGGACGGTTTGTTGTTTCCTTTTGGGCCCCAAACCGGTAACCCTTGAATCTATAGCTTCAAGGCTCACTTTGCGATTTGGCGTTCGAAGGTTGAGTTCGTGGGACGTTCTGAGGATTGAAGCGCATCATGTTTCAATTTGAACCAACCGGGCATATAAGTTGAAACATTGCAGAATGTGTGGCCGCCCAGGGAGTCTGCGTGTGCCAAAAAGACGCACCCCCCCTTATCCTGTCATGTGGGCCGATCCAGACTCAGGCCCATAGGTGTCCTTAGGTGAGCCTGGTTAAAAATCGATGGGTTCCACTGGTTTAGATGGGTTTTGTCCCATGTACCAGGGCCATCTACTTTTCCAAAAGGTCACCTATGCGACTCAGGCCTGGCCTGGTGGAATGTGTGGGCGCGCATCGGCGCTGGATCGACCACGGTATGGGCTTGAACTACGACTTGCCGGTGGGGACGGGGGAAGGGCGGGAGGAGTTTTTTGGCTGTGGGTCAAAACCAATGGGATCCCATTTTGGGGTAGGTGCACCACCCCATTTTAGTCTATTTTAGTGGGGATTGGGATGTTCACTGCGGGTAGGCCATTTGGGTATGGTGGCGGAAGGAATTTGGACCGTGGGTAAGCTGCTTGACCGCAGGAGACTGCGAATTCAAGCGAAACATGGCCTGCCAGCCCGAGTTATCTTGCTGGTGCTCGGTCAGGAATGACCGAGACCGGGTCTGGGTTGATTGAACCCGAAGTACCGGAAGTCGGGATTCCCGAAAGGAAAGTATAGGGGCTGGGTAGGGATCGTTCCCTCATTCCCTGCATGAGAACCAGCAAGTTATTTGGTGTGTCTCAAAAAAACATGGGGCCCACCATGAAACCCTGGCAAAAGGAAAAGTAGTCTAAGACCTGCGGTCTGACGGACATCTCTTAAATTTCGTGCCACACCCATTTGGCTTTTCGTTGGCTGGTAAAGGAAGACCAGGACAACCACGATTTTGGGGGTTCCGCAAGAAAAGACACACCCTGGGACATGTTTAAGCTCACCGGTGTCGAGGGGTGAAAAAAGCTACATAGAGCTACATGAAGAAGTGGTCCTTTACTTGGGGCTTCCTTGTTTTCACTCGGAATTTGGGGGTGTGTCTTTTTGATTTGGTTTTTTTGCGGAAAGGGAGAATAAGAAGAAAACTACATTTTGTTTGCTTTTTGTTGTTGTTATTTTTTTTCTTGCGGGGTGGGGGGGGAAGACTCACCCATTTGGTAATTTGCTCAGATTCATGTTCCATGGGCCGTGAAACTACCCGCCCCAAAATTGTGAGGTGATTTCTTGTTTTGATGGATAGTTTGAAGGTTCAGCAAGATGGCCTCGTGCATGGAGTCGCTACGTGGAAGGTGAGTAATTCCAGGGCCAAAATGCCGATCTTTATGTCAGCAATGGCCTACTTTGTTTGGGTGGGCACAGCTCTTGTTCAGCAAGTTGCCTACTTTGTTTGAGTTGGATGCTGCAATGGTGTACATGGTTTTACTCAGAGAAGCGTTCGTCGTTTTTGTACCCGCCGGGTCACAACTGGGCTGTCAGCACTTTGTTAGGGGCCGTAGGAATCATAAAAGCAATGCATATCTGAGCTCATGACCCTTCATAAGTGGTGTCAGTACGCAAAAAGGAGGGGGTCATGGAAATTCCCCATGTTTGAAGGCTTACGGAGACTCCAGGTAGGCTGATGACCCCTTTGCCGGCGACCCTTAGTTGGAGGCTTGGATGTTCTTTTAGAGGGTAACGGGAAAACCAGCCTGGAACACCTTCACGGCTCCAAATCCAAAATAAGTACACTTGAACCCTAAATACAACTGAACCCTCCATTTCTCACCTCACGCCCTCGTTGCAGTAGAGGTCCAAGCTTGCTGAACGATGGCATAGGTTTCTTTTTTGGTTGCTTTGGTCGGAAAATAGATGGCCCTGGTTTACCTGGTGTTTTTTTTTTCTCATCTACCAGGGCCATCTATTTCCCCTAAGGAAACCTATGACCCAGGGTCTCCCCAGTTTCAGGTGGGCGTGGGCCATCTCCTGGACCGCCGCTCCGAGCTGAGCATCGACCTGGTGACCCTCAGTGCGACGCCGCAGGCGAGCCGAGCCCAGGTCTGTGGCAAAAACACGTGGGCCGTGTGTGTGTGTGTGTGTGGGTGTGTGGGTGTGGGGGTGGGCTTTTTTTAGAAGGTACCCCCGTTTTGGGGGTTGGCCCAAGGGAAACCCAACGGAAGCGGTTTTGTGAGGGTACCTCACTTCTGGGGTTGCCCTTTTTGGGTACACGGTTTCAACGAGAAACTCAAAGGAAACGGTATTTGAAGGTACCCGTTTTGGGGTGGGTTTAAAGGGAGCCAAAAGGTATGGGTCCCCCTGTTATGAGACATGCCCATGACAATCTCGCA